TAAATTAAAATTAGAATCTTAATTAATGTAAATTGAAATTATTATCTTACTTAATTATTACATTTAACATAGAATTTAAACTTCAAAAACAAAATGTTGTAAAATATATATGTATATATATACTATATTTAACATTTTCTAAAAGTTTAGAGAGACAACTTTTCTACATTCGCTTTGTTTGGGTTTTGGGCCATGTGGCATGCAAGTGGCAGATTAGGTGGCATCGTTATAAAGAATTCCATTAATTTAGTTAACAGATATTTATCAAGTAGACCATTTTAAAACAAATTTGATAATTTATAGATCATTTTAGAAAAAAAATTGCTTATAAACTAAATTGAAATAGACCACATAATTAACAAACTATTTATTGAATTTAACCATTAAACTTGAAATAGTTAAACTCATGCTCCAATTATTTGAGTGAGCTTAAGCACGAGCTTAAGTACTCAAGTGATTTAAATTTGAACTTTTTTTTCCCTTATAACTTCAAATTATTTCAATAATTAACCATTTAACCATAAACTTTTCTACTTTTTAAAAAATATTACAGTACTAAAAGGTTAAATAAGTGCATTATATTAAGTCCAATAGTAAAAGAAAGCCATAAATTTCATTTGAAAATTTTTATTAATAAAAAGCTCAAAACATGATAATAATTTAAATTACACTTTTATCCTTGTTAGGTTTATATGATACCATGTCTTCTGTGTCCTTATATGTAGGGGTGGGCAAAAACCGATTTGGTTTTAACCGAAATCGATTTTGGATTAACCAATTTTTTTTTTATTTTATTTTGAGAATTGAAACTGAATCAAAATTTTTAAATTTGATCGGTTTGGTTATTAATAAAATTGGTTCGGTTTTAGTTTTAATCAAATAAATATTAATTAGTTTTTTTCTAATAATAGATTATATTTTATGTAATATTATATCATATTTTATCATATTTAACTAAGTTTTGGTTTTCAAGTGACTCTTTCCAATTTTTGTTTATAAAAACTCAAACCAAAATCAAATCAAAATCAAACCAAAATTTATTTGGTTAATATCAAAATCAGAACAACAACACTAAAAAACCATTGAACCAAATCAAATTCATTTTTTTTATTCGATTTTCAAATAATCATTCGTTTACCCAACCGAACGCCCACCCCGACCTGTATGGTTGTAACAACAGAAAATTATATTTCCCATCGAAGATAGAAAGTGGTCCTCTAGGCCATCCATAAAAAGGAATGGTCTTTTGAGCCTAGCTTAGCCCAGCTCAAATTTTTTAGGTCACCAAGCCAAGCCCAAGTTCAGACATGGGTTTGTTGGTCAACCCAATTTCCGGTAAAAATGTCAAGCACAGCCCAAGTTTTTTAGGCCAGCAAGCCAAACCCAAGATCAGACCTGGGTTTCTTGGTCAACCCAAATCCGGGTTAAAATGTCAGGTTTATTTTATATCATCCAAAATACTAAAATTTTTTGCTCCCTTAATTTGGAGTATGTTCCTAAAGTATTCCCACAAACGAGAACCAGAATCAATTGAACAGCTGGTGGTCACCATGTTTTGGATGAGGTAATTAGGTAAATGACATTTCAGTAGTGCAACCTCAGGGAGATAAGTTTCCATAATTGCATTGTTGTGGGTTATTTTTTTTTTTTTTTAAGAAGAAAGAATATTTGCTTAAAATGTTTAAACAAACATGTTTGATTAATATTTGTTTTAGAGTTTTTTATTTTGCAATCTGAATTGTTGCAAAATAAAAATTATATGATGAGAAGAGACAACCTTAATATCGATCAATTGGTTTGCCATATTTAATACTTTAAGTTATGTAGTATAATAAATTTCATTTTGCACAATATTTTATTAATTTTGCAATTTAATTAAGGTTTCTCTAAAGCATACTCATCCTTCCAAATTAACCAAAATGCTACTTACATGGTAGAATGAGAAGCACCATCATCATATAATCATTCAGGACTAACAAAACCCACAAGACAAAACTGATGCTTGTGTGATCATATGGTATGCAAAATTTACATATGTAAAGTAATCCTAATCCCTACATATCAACTATATGTCTACCTAACTAATTGATTTTGATTTTCAAGTTCACTCCACAAGCAGAAGAAAGTGAGAAATATATGTCACAAAAATCAGCATTTAGTGATCTTCAGTCTCCTTACAGTGGACAGGAACATCCTACACCAAAATGCCAAAATTTGCAAATTACTTGGTTAAGCTAAACTGGGATTAAAATAAAGGGCAGCAAAGTGAGAAAAAAATGTAAGCTTACTCCCATGGAACATCCCCAACCATCATCCAATCCCCTTCCCTGTCTTCATAAGTTAATACATGACAACTCTCATACTGCAATCCTTCCACCTCTGCCTCAGCCCCTGCACCAAAACAAAAAACCCCTCCTTTCAATAATCCCTCGCAAGCATTTCATCAAACATAAACAAGATCAAAATAATTTAAAAACAGAGACTCAACAGAGAATGTTGGTATTGAACATGTGATCCAGAGTCCTGATCATGTCATGGTACCCATCATGAGCTAAAATATTCAATTTTCTCCCAATGGGAATCCCTTCCATGTAAACCTTAACAAAGAAAGTAGCACTATTGCACTCATTTTCCTCTTCCGCCACCACCTGCTGCAGCCGCTCCGGCTGTACTTGCGGCCTAGAGGCAGAGATGCTGAGTCCGAGCTGGAGATCAGTACTGAGATCAGAACTCGAGTGGGGAAAATGGGGGTTGATGCTCTCTCTAGAGGAAGAAGAAGAACTCTTAGCGCGCGCCATTTCGGATGTGCAGACAAACAAAGCCGCCACCTAAGGTTTAAATAAATAGAAGAATAGGAGAAATTACTACGGTAATGTCTTCATATGACTGGTTAGCCTGATCATGTTATTGGTACAGCCGACATGTCCACATGTCAGACTCCAACCACTTCGCAGGTAATCATTATTATCAAATTTAAATTCATAAATTTAATAATATGGTTTAGAAAGGTGTTAAGTGGAGAAAATGAACATAGACATGAACTACTTGTCGATTTTCGAAATATTTTACGTAAGAATGACATAATTTAACTGGAAATCCTGTCCAAAATCAATGTTCAGTGGATAAGGTTATCGTGGTAAGCATAATTTGCTTAAGTTAATTACGGATATTGAGAATGGTGAAATATAAAGCATGTAGTATATCTACAAAGCAGAAGGGATAATGTTTGTGTCACATAGAAAGACATAAAAACATGGGAGATAAAGATCCTGTCAAAGTTTTCAAGCACAAGAAAAGCAATTGAGTAGAACTTGGAAAAAAGAGAAAAAGACAGAAACCCCACGTGTCTAATCTTAATTACTCAGGTAAGAAACATTTGTCTTTTTGTTACATTAAGGTTTAGGATGGGTGTTGGTTACCCTTGCTCAGCTTGAGTGGGGATTTAGAGTGGAGATTTAGATTTTAGAGTTGTGATTATCAATTACTTGTTTATAATTGTTGACCACATGACTCAAATTTTAAAATGAGCCATTAAAGATATATCAAAACTTACCAAGTCAATAGAGCCAACTCATGGAGCTAATGTGATGAACTTTATTACTTGTTTTTCACGTTGATTAAGGGAGGAGGGGGCAAAGGAAATCTTGCTTATGGCAAAAGAAAAGGGAAGGAAATGGGAGAGGGAGAAATTAATAGAGGAAGGGGGGTGAAAAGGGAAAAAGTGGGTGTTCTGTTCCCCAGCTACCCTACACGAGGTTGCTACAATTGATGATGATTTTGTCTACTTTTACTGCTCCGAGGACTTTTTGATTTGTATTGAAAGTGAATCCACAGTTTTTACAAAAACCTCAAATTCCCAATTTTGTCAGTCAAAGGGTGGGGTTTGGTTTTTATTTCCCTATGTGGGGATGGTGGGGGTGGTGGGGGCAGGGATCCTATTTTCAGGCAACCTTTTCATCTTTTCTCCTACCGGTTGTAATTTCTTTACGACTTTTGTGTCTCGTTTTTGCTTTGGAATGAGATTGCATATGAACAGATGAAGGGGGCAGGCGCCTTGGGGTTTCTAGATGGAGGACAAGAAGTCCGCCGCCGGCCGCCCTGTGCAAAATTAGGCTAAACATTGTGCTCCCCTACTGTCTCACTTGATCACCGTCCAGTTGTTAATTCTAGCTATCTGCTGGCAGTTAGTACCACAATTAAAATATATAAATATTGGCTTAACTCGTTTTCATGTGGATCCTGTCTAAATATATTTCTTGCTATTTTATTGGAGTATGGTGCTGGCTATTACCTGGAAAACCCTCTAGTATTATTAAGGGTGGTTTTAATCTAAAGGTTAATGTTTTTTATTTGATATTTAGTTTGAATGGTAACATTTTTCATTTTATTATGAATGTAAAAAAAATTATGAAAAATTAATTATTTTTTATAATTAAATGTCATAAATGATAATAAAAATTTATAAATATCTTGAATAAATCAATTTACAAAAAGAATTTATAAAAAGTGTTTAAATAATTTTACAAGTAGACATTTTGAGTGTCCAAAAGTCGTAAATTGTACTTTTTAAAAAAAAATAAAATCCTATAAATTTTAGTATGAATTGTATAATAAACATACAGTATGAATTATCCTTCACTTTTATGGGGTTTGACGTGATTAGATTATAAATTAATTGAAATCTAATGTAATTATTAAATATCAAAAAGTTAATATAAAAAAAAATACAGTATGAATTGTTTGATAATAATGCAGGCTAGTTACTAAAATCACCAGCGTTCTTTAATACGGAGATGAGATTCATTATCGGTAATACTTCAACAGCAAAAATAAAAATGTTTAAGGCAAAATGAATTTGTCGGGATCCCATTTCCAAGCACTAGATATTTTATTGAATAGAGTTACCACAGAATGCAGACATATAGAAGTTCTCAAAACATTCTGGTCACGAGTGCACAATGGAAGACGTAAACATGGTCTTCATCCACTGCATGGAATGTTCCGAGGAAGACACAATAAATCATGAGACTGCTTCTAAGCAAATATATATACTTTTATTTGGTCAGTTGGTGTTTTGTGTGAATTTCTGTGCACCTTAATATTGTTTTCTTCTTAAATTATTTTAAGGATGCATTTTAAAATAACTTGATACATTAAAAGGGTGTTTAAATTAATTGTTTACATATAATTAATAGTTGATAGTTAATATTTAATAATATATAATAATAATTATTTATAATTTAAAATATTTAATTTGTTCAATTATAATTAATAATTGATAGTTGTTTATAAAAACCCAAACCAAACACCCTTTAAGACTCGATATCTAACTTTTTTTTATGTGATAACATTTATTTATTAATAGATTTAACTTTTGAATCACAGAACAAATTTTAGTATTGCCCAACAACTAAATTATATGTACCTAAAATACACCTACAAATAAACAGACTTGTTGTAAGGAACTGTATTTCCAAAATAGCCTACCCAAAAATTTTATCCTAGAATCTGTTCCTCAATGCATCTGAAGTCTTAATCCGGGAGCTTCTCAATGGGTAGTCCTAATGGTTATGTTATGTGCAATATCATATGTATGCATATTTTGAAAGGAAATCCTTCACTCCAGCTGCAACCTCGTAAGCACCTTCTACACATCGTCCCAGAGCTACCCCGGACACATAGTTGCCACCGAGAAATAGGCCATCATAACCAGAATCCTTTAAAGCAGATTTTGCAGTTTCTAGGAGATCCAAATGACCAACCAAGAACTGGGGAATGGCTTGTGGCCATACTCTAACACCTAATGCAAGAGGATCCTTTGCTGTAGGATTTATGAGCATTTTTCTCAAATCACGGTCAACTGCTTCCACAAGCTCACCTTCAGTCTGCCAGGAAAAAGGTAGCACTAATAGAGTAACAAATGAAAAAGCAAAATGCTGTGGACAATAAATGTGATTTTCAACAAATTGAGACAATTTGCATTCTCTCAAATAAGAATTGATATTCTGCAGAAAATTATTTTACCTTTGACAAAATTCCAGGGTTTGTAGCCCCACCAATATAGTTTAGAAGCAAAACCCTGCCCGGTGGAGCTCGGTTAGGAAACAGTGATGAACTGTATATAGTCCCTGCCATTTTTTGTAGCATCTTAATCAAACAGTCCTTACTAACAAAGTGACATTTATTGAGTCAAATATTCAGCGTAAGAAAGAATCAGATCATGACACTTCTAGAAAAGTAATTACCTAAAGTTTCCACCCCTTGGCTGCGTGGGTGCAATTGGCCAAACCCCTTAAGTTCACCATCAATTATGCATTCTGTCGTAATTGCTTCTTTTGGATATGAAATGGTGACTGCCGCTACCGGGGGGTAATAAAACTTGGATAGTGCATTCGCAGCAGCAGCCTGATCATAACAAGCAGAAATATACAGAACAGAGAGATTAATAGAAAGTCTGAAACCTGGTAATAGCTGGAAATAACACTCAGTTCATCCACTAGACAACTGTTGCTTTCGCAAAATTTCCCAATATTGAAAAAAATTTTGCTCAACTGAAAACCACAAATTAGACATGGAAAATTTACAACAAATTGAAGTACTGAACCTTGATTTCTAACCAGCTTAATATCCAGAAAAAAGTTAGTAAATTGCAAGCTAAGACACCTCATGGTGTGTACCCTAAATTAGTGGTCAAAACTTGTCCCACCATAATGTGTTGTTACTCATAGGGGGCACAATTTAGACTTTGTTCAGAATCCAAGAGCCTAAATCACATTCATTGATGCAAGTTTCCATGGCAGTAACAATTTATGAAGAACCTTATCAGCCAGCAATTAATATAAAGAGGATTATCAAGTTACGGATGAGTTAAAGAATGAAACATACTGATAAAGGATTCAACAGATCACTGGCAATATAGGATGGGATGGTCATGACAACAGTTTTACTCTGAAGAGACACCACTCCTTCTGGGGTTTCATATGTCAATTTATATCCACCATCCAACTTAGTGATGCTTGACAGCTTCCATGATAATTTAACTTTGCTGCCCAAACTGCCAAGATCAACACCATAGATTAGGGTCTTGAAACTAACACATGTACTAATAAAAGAACATTGAGGCTATAGAACCACTTAAGAAGTTTATCATCATCATTCAGGATAACTGATCATCAAATACATATCAAATTTTCATAACATAGAATCTCAATGAAATCAGGTTACCTGGTAGAAATTGCCTCGGGCAACATAGAAAGTCCTTTCCTAAAAGATCCAACTGTCTGGCCTTTTGGTTTTGGTAGACGCCTGCAAAATAACTAAATATTAGAAATGAAAATCAATTTCTTGGAAACAACATATCTTCTCAAGCACTTGTGTATCATTACGGGTCCCGGGTTGGCTTGGGTGCTTTATTTTTCTCCTGGATAGTTTTGAAAGTGCCTCCAATAATGCTACCACCATTCTGCTCTAGCTTCCAAACTTTTCCAAATGCTGCTTTCATACTTAGTTTTGAAGGATCCCCAGCATAAACACCTGCAGCAGAATGGTTTTCAATTACAACAAAATTGTGATCGGTTCAAGAAACAAAACTGCATATAGAGTATAGTTACTTTTGAGAACCACTAAATCGAAGAACACTTGGTTGGACAGGGTAGCTCGTTTATTGCACAAGCATATATATCGTTATCTACCTTGTAAATTCAAACTGGATTAACTTATCAAATCTATGTTTTCAACTTTTGACTTGCATATGATGATGGCAGCCATCAAATGCACTTTCTTCAGTAACAACTTGGCACCGTAAAATGTCAAAACTGCACACAATTAAACTATGTAATAGCATACTGCAAAGTAACTCGAGTGGATTGAATTTTGCACAGAAACCGCAAGAGAAAATTTCAGCTTTTTTGGGTAAGAAACATCCTACAGTCTTTATAATGTTGAAGGACTATTAAGTGACATGGAGTTGAACCAAACAAAGCATTTTGCTAAGGGTCCGCAGACATAGTGATTAAAAGATGTATATAAAGCAAAATGGAGGATGATAAATGATAATAGAAAAAATTCCCACCCGAACAAAATGGTTCAATCAGGCGCTCAAAAACCTCATCACCCAGGTTACGGCGCACAAACTCCTCAACTGATTCTTCATGACCCTGTTACCTTTGCCAAAATTTTACAAGACTTCAGTTAGCCATGAAATCAGGCAAATGTAAGAATGAGATCAACAGTGATGAATTATAATTTAATGAGCTCATAAGAAAGAAGGAAGAACAAACTGGAGCAGGAGGGCGAATGCCAATAGCACCAAAACCGGCTCTTAGTTTTCCACCAATGCTCATTAAATCAAAAAATGGAAGGTCAGTTGGCTTTGAGGGAACAGGCCTCAACTTTCCATCCCACAATACAAATCGCGGTGCATTAGGGTCACCTAGAACTAGATCATCCTTCAACCCACTATCCACCTGAAATGGGAAGAGTAATCGACAAATTAGACCAAAAACAGTCAGAACCCCTTTTCGAAAATTAGTGTAGCTGATGACCATGACAGGCCAACAATGACAAACCCAGACATTTTTTTTTTTTTCTCTTTAGCCTGTAACCCACAGATTAATAACTTCATTTTAACAAAAAAACAATAACATTAACCTCCAAAAGGACTGTGTAACTGTGTTAATTAATTCCAAGAAAAACAACCCAGAAAAAAATTCCAACCATCTAGACCTGGTAGGGACAAATTGACAACTATAATTTAGTAGCATTTAACTGATTCTCTAAGCTATAACTTCAATGCAATCCAGTGTAACTATAATTAACTGAAAACCTAACTCTAATTAGTTCACCAGATTTTTCAGCTTAACAAAATTGGGATAAGTAGCAATGCCTAGCGAGAATTGAGAACTTACCACCATGGTGAGCATTGGATCAGACGGCTGAAAGCTGTTGGGACCCTCTTCCCAGAGATACCCATCCCTCTCAACGGTGGTGATGTTACCACCAACTCGGTCCTTAGCCTCCGTCACGATCACATTTGGAGCGACGTCACTGTGCTTGGTGGCGAGCGCCTGGGCAATACAGAGGCCGCTGATCCCACCTCCAACTATTACGCAATCCACAGTGGCCAGTTCTCCACCGTCGATAGTTGGTGGGAAACGAGTGCGCCCCTCCGCGATAGAGCAGCGGAGCTTGAGAGGTCTGTGAATGTGAGGCCTCGGACTGGGTTTAGAGAAGGGCAGCAGGGACGGTGGTGGGCGGAGCAGTGAGACGTCGATGAGAGCGGCCATTGCGGTTGGCGGGGCCCAACGTAGGAGAGGATGGCGCAAAAGCTTGATTATGCAGTGGGACGTTGGTGGTTTTCGTTTGCCCGCCTGCGCTGGATTGCGAATTTGCGATTGCGTTATCTTTAGTGAGAAAGGTTCTGGTGTAATCACTCCTACGTTTTCTTGGCCATCAATAAGTTTGACATCGTTCACTTCTCCATCAAATGCCTCCTTTTTAGAATTCTTTTAATCCTTAATTCTTACTCTTTTAACTAATGGTTGTTGTGTGATCTTTTTTTGTTATAAATATATTTTAAAAAATATAAAAAGTGATTAATTTTAATATAATTGTTAAATAAATAAATTTAATTAAATAATTGATAAATTAAA